GGTTAAAAATACAAATTGATATAGTAAAAAAAAACAAAGGCCAAACTCACATTGCTAACACATCAGGAAAAGGTTCCTTTCCATAGATCCAAACCCTATCTGGCTGGCATTTAGTTTGCCAAAAATGTATTAGCAACAACCGCCATGTTTTTCCCCCGAAAATATGGCTTTCACTTTTTTCCATCCTTGTTACGTCTCAGTGCTGCTGTTCTCATCCAGCCTCACTTAGCCACTTCCTGACTACATTCACTTTCTCCAGTGTTGACTACACATTACTATTCCTTACCAGTTCCAGATAGTAACACTGGTGTGCCATGTCTATGCAATGAGACTACAGCTGCACAGCCACTTATAGTTTCAACCCGGGAAGCATGTGACATGGTTAAAACTAGTGATGAGCTACATGTGCCTGGGTTCAGTTTGCTTGGATGTCTGCCCAACCCAGACAGAAGTCTATTTTAGGCAAATGTCCAAATGTACTCAACCTAGGACTGCCTGAGTCCTAGCAACTGCTGATGCTGTGCTTCCCAAAGTGGTTGCTAGGATGCAAGCAGCTGGACCACACAGTGTCATTAGCTGCTAGGATGCAGGTAGATGCACCATAACCACCAATGATGCTATGGGGCCACCTGTTTCCTAGCAACCAATCACACCGTGTGTCCTGCTGAGCTACCAGTCAATCAATGACGCTGGGCTGGCAACACGGTGTCATTAGTGGATAAGACACATAGAGAGGTGCAAGCAAACCCATCAAGTTGTTTGCCCATTCAAAGAACTGCAAACAGTTTGAATTTGGGTCGAACTCATGACCAACCTGAACCAGAAGCTTATTCCTAGTGATGAGGGACAACTGGTGATGAGGCTGGGCTTGGTGCGAACCCAGGCCAGTTCGCCTGAGTTCGTCCTAGCCTGTTTAAAACTTTGACCACCACCCACTCCTTTTGACCCAATCAGTTGCAGGGAAGTGCATTCCTGCCCCACAGCCATACAGCACAAAAGGGCCGGGAACTCGGTGGCGTTAAGAGCTTTGAGCAGGCTTGAGCTAACTCAGGTTAACTGGGTTCTCACAAAGCCCATCCTCATCACTAGTGACAACATCAGAGCGCAATCAGAAGACAGTTGTCACCACATAACAGAAATGCTTTAACAAGGATCTTCATGGGAAGACTACCAGGCATTATTTTAATGAAAGCTGCAGCTATAAAAAATGTAAAACAACTTTTAAAATGTTCTTAATATGTTATTATTGGGTTTCGATTTACTATAATGTAAAAAAAAAGTGACAGTTATTTTCAGCTGAGAGACAAGATTTGACAATTCCAGTCACATGCCTAAAAATAACGATCCGTGTCCTTGTGTTAGAACTTGATGAACTTAGCCTCGTGTTTACTATGTGTGACATATTTGCATTCTTTGAAAACAACACGGAATCCTGCCTCATTTTACGACAGATGCCAGTTTCAGTACCCCAGCACACTCATTAATTGTTAACGGAATACTGAAAATGCCTTCTGTCACCTGTGCTAAGCACCGAAATTCCATTAGCACTTAGATAACAATATACAGCTTGTCACAGCAACATGCAGACTAAGCATATCTGAGGGTTTCCTATTTATGTATGTATGGAACACAAGCCCCACATCATACCATTGTGCGGCACTGTTCCTCCGCAGCTGCTCTTTTTCACAAGCTCATTGAGGCTGCCACGAATGGATATGAGATATAATTTAAATCTATTATCCCCACAAGTGTCAAAAGCAGGGGAGCTTTTCCTGTGTCGCTAATAACAAGGTCGGCAATGATCCTTTTTTTTTTTGGAACGTTAATTGTTTTTCATATAATGCTCCGCCATCTGTCTTGTACGGAGGAGAAATATTCTTTATAAGGCAGTCTATTTCATTTTGCAAAAATTTAATATTTTGGTCCTTACAAAAATAGGCTATAAATCATTGGGTTTGTGCAGAGATAGATTTTTTCAGTTAGACTACGGTTACATCAGAAAATGTTGCATCCATATAAAGTAGGTCCGGAAAAATTTGGACCCTGTGTTTGACTGCCATCTTTATATGTGCTTGGGTGCCGCCCTAGCCTAACCCCATATACAGTAGTTGCTTTTAAGTTTAGCTTTTAAATAACCCTGGGTCTGTGCTGGGTACATTCTTGCCAGTATGTTCCCTGGTCCCGGTATGCTGTTCCTGGAATAAGTGTGAAGCAAGAGAGTCCAAAATCATTTCAGGTGCTAAAAAAGATAGTTTGACAGCTCATGTATGCAGGGCTGGCTACCATTGGATGTAGCTTTACCCAAAAACTGTCACTGAGAGAGAAAGTGATGGGAAGTAGGGACACCTTTTCTGCAGTGATGTGCTGTGCCTTCTGTCTTGGGTGAGGCATCCCCCAGCCCGCCAAATTCGCGCCCCGTCTTGCAGAAACTCCGCCCCATCCTACAGAAGCTCTGCCCCTGTCCCTCAGACACCCCAACCCCAGCTCAGTAACCCAGCTGTGTGGGGAGGAGGAAGGGACGAGAAAGGGAGGAGCCTCCCTGTCCCTCACTTGCTTGTCACTGGTGAGGCATCGAGATCGATGTCCTCACTGCTTTTTTTTGATTGGACAGCTTGGACCCATGGAGCTTTGCCATTGGTCCAAGCCGCCCACAGAGCTCACAACTCTAACACAGAGTAGAGGCTGTGACAGCTCTTGCCTCACTATGTTAGGTTACACAAGCAGTGGGGAAGTCCACTGCTGTTTAACCTAACTAGCTATCAAAAGCCGGATGCAGCGCCGCCTGTAATGAACAGACAGCACTCCATCCATGACAGGTTACACAGTGGGGAGGATTTCCCTGCTGTGTAACTTGTAAGAAGCCGATCTGAATGGAGAGCTTTAGACTTCAAGCTGACTGCTTTTTCCTCCATAATACTAGGTGAGGCTCTGCCTCCCCTGACCGCACATCCCTGCTTTTCTGGTGACAACATTGGATTTCTACATTGCTGAGATTTCCACTAACTTTTTCTGTTGTGTCTCTGAGACAGGAAGTGAAGGGAAATTGCCCTAATTATACACAGACAGGAGAACATAACCTGAGATTTTGACCCTTCCCTACATTATCTAACACTACCAAAAAATGTAGGCTACATATACACTTTGAAGGTTAAGTTGTACTTTTCCGTCCATGTTTTATATTGCACCCATGCTTATGGTGTAACATGAAACATGGTCACATCCCCAAACTGCGCCCCCCACTTATCTGATTTGAGGGGTTCTGTTCCCACGGACTGCTGTAATTTTTTTTTAATACATTTTTTATTTATAATTGCAGTAACAAAAGTACAGAAAGGAGACAAAAAGCGTGAAAGGAGATACAAGTCTGTAAAAAACAAGGTCATCGTTACACGATATTGAACAGAAACAAGAAAATAAATTCCTGACCTTTTTATTACAAACAAATGGGTTATAGGAAGAGAGCATAAAGCACATGATAAAACTACTACATAATAAACTGTTCGCCATCTGCTCCTGCACTCCCTCGGCTTTTCATCACAGATTTTTAACTGACAAACAAGTCAAAGGTTAAAAGTAGGGATGCACCAATACCGATACTAGTATAGGTACCGATACAGAGTATTTGGGCTAGTACTCATACTCGCCCAAATGCTTCGGTGCCTAGCCCGATACCTAAACTTCTGGTATCAGCAAGCTGGGTGGAGAGTCATTATCACTTGGTGATGAGGGAGCATGGAGCCTGCTTCCCGGCCAATCAGGTAAGTGGGTGCCGTGTAATGACTCGACACAGCACCCGGCTTCCTCATTGGCCAGAAGCCGGCTCCATGCTTCCTCATCACTTGGTGATGAGGCAGCATGGAGATTGCTTCCATGCTAATCAGGAAGCCGGGTGGCGAGTCATTACACTCCGCCTGGCTTTCTTAAAGGAGAACTATGAGGTGAGTGATTTTCACTCAGCCTCATAGTTCTAGCCGACCTGTGACAATAAAACTGTCACAGGTCGGCTGAGCAGATCGGGAAGTGAGCGAACACATACCGGCGCTCGCTCACTTCTCAATCCTGTGCCGGCAGAGAGCCGTGACAGGGGAGGGACTGGATCCCCCCCCGTCCGATCCTCCAGCGCTGACAGAACGGACGGGGCGGGTACAGCTGGCTCTGCCTCTAGATAGGCAGAGCCAGCTGTCACTCACGCAGCTGGGTGGATCCAGACATAATTGTCGGGATCCGTTTCCGGCTGCGGCGTCTCAGTATACCGTGAGCTGTAGCTCGCGGTATACTGAGCTTAGGGTGACGGGAGGACGCTAGTTTGTGTCCTCCCGTTACCCTTAGGAGAACTATGGGGAAAAACACTGACCCCATAGTTCTCCTTTAATGGGACTTCCGATATCGGTTTTCGGTATTGGTGAGTACAGGAACAAATATTGGCACTCGTATTCGATACCGAAAAACAGGTATGGATGCATCCCTAGTTAAAACGAAGGGGAAAAGGGTGGAGAGAGCGAAGCAAAGAAGAAGAAAAATAAGAACCGGACAGATCCGGAAACGAGTAAAATCAGGAAAGGGAAACAACCAGGAGCCACCCAGCCTCGGTGCAGCTGTGCAGATGGAGCCAAGTGATCTATTTGCAGGTTCTGTGAACAGAGCGAATACAAGCCCCATCTGCCATCACAGCAAAGGGACTGTAGCTCGCAATGGACTAGAATGTCATTATTGCACTATTGATACATGCACTGACCTCTGTCGCAATGCATGGCAGGCTCAAAAGCTCAAATGTGACTTTAAATAACACAAGTCATTCACATTTGTACTAGTTTTCTCAAATCTAAACACGCAGAGACAAAACAGACTTTTGTCTGGTAATAGGTATTGAGCACTCAGAAAATAAACACTCATTTACATATTGTGCTTCAGGAAGTAAGAGAACATCACGAGGATGAAGCATTTTGTCCCTCACCGCACACCATAGATTCAGATCAGCTGCTCACTATGAGACTTGTTACAATGTGTCAGATGTGATTCCAGCCTGCTACAATGATCCCTCTGCTCACTCTCCTCCTCTACTATGGGGGGATTGTCTCCTGTCATACTGATGATCCCATCCAAGTGTTTGTCATCCCTCACAGTCACATGGATGTGGGCTGGGTGTACACTGTGCAGGTACAGTACAGAGTATATAGAATAACACAATGTCTTCATACACAGCATAAGACTCATTGAGCAAGCTGTACCAGGAAATAATGGCTGTTATACAGCTGTGGAGCTACAGCTCAGTATGACAGGGCATGATGAGACTTGCAGTCCTCTCCCATTCAGCTAGAGAGACATTAGATGCCTAAGCCTGTGTGGATTATATTTATACCAAGAAAAAATTTCTGATTATCATAAGTTGTTTGTTTCTTTTTTGTATTATCACTGACAATGTTTTAAGTTACAGGTTAGTATAAACAATGTGTCAAAATGTTGTATGTTTTATAAATAGACTATCTGAATGTTTTATGTTGTGTGCATTTGTTTATAAATGAACTGTGTGTTGTGTGGCTGTATTTATAAATGAACTGTGTGTATATAAATGATCTATCTGTGTGTTGTGTCCATGTGTTTATAAATTAACTTTGTGTTGTGTGGATGTGTTTATAAATGAACTATGTGTTGTGTGGATGTGTTTATAATTGAACTGTGTGTATATAAATGATCTATAAATGAACGATGTGTGTGTGTGTGTGTGTGTGTGTTTAGAAATGATTTATCTGTGTGTGTGTTTAGAAATGATCTGTGTGTGTGTGTTTAGAAATGATCTGTGTGTGTGTGTTTAGAAATGATCTGTGTGTTGTGTGTGTGTTTAGAAATGATCTATCTGTGTGTTGTGTGTGTGTTTGTTTAGAAATGATTATCTGTGTGTTGTGTGCGTTTGTTTAGAAATGATCTATCTGTGTGTTGTGTGCGTGTGTTTAGAAATGATCTATCTGTGTGTTGCGTGTGTTTAGAAATGATCTATCTGTGTGTTGTGTGTGTGTGTGTTTAGAAATGATCTATCTGTGTGTTGTGTGTTTAGAAATGATCTATCTGTGTGTTGTGTGTTTAGAAATGATCTATCTGTGTGTTGTGTGTTTAGAAATGATCTATCTGTGTGTTGTGTGTTTAGAAATGATCTATCTGTGTGTTGTGTGTTTAGAAATGATCTATCTGTGTGTTGTGTGTTTAGAAATGATCTATCTGTGTGTTGTGTGCGTGTGTTTAGAAATGATCTATCTGTGTGTTGTGTGTGTATGTATGTGTTTAGAAATGATCTATCTCTATGTTGTGTGTTTATAAATGAACTATGTAGCAAAGAAATATGCACATTTTCCTACTGCAGTACTGTCATGCTGCTTCGTGTAATTGCTTGACTAAAGCATGGTTCACACCTGAGCGGCGACTGTTCACACGTTAGCACTGCATCGTGCGTACGAAAACGCCTGTCGCACAAAAAGATGCAGGAGCTATTTTCAGGCAGATGTCATGCGGTTTTGGTTCCAATAGATATTGCTATGCAGGGAGAATGCAAGTTTAAAAAAAGGCACAGTAAAAAAGTTGTATAAAACTGTATAAAACTGAAAACGCCTAGGTGTGAACCTGGCCTTAGACCACTGGCAGTCACCAGTAATACACCATAAGCCTTAAAGTGACACTAAACTCAAGAGTTAAATCTTAAAACGTCATTCAAGTACCTTTTAACTATTAACAAAAATGTCTCTTATTTGTGTATCACTCGGCTGTAGATCCTCAAATCATCTCTGAATTGGTGCTGACACTGTCCTTCCTTCTGGAGGGTGGCTACGTGAGATTGTAGTCCATCACGGGAGAGAGATTGGAGTGGTGGCTACTT